TTTTAAATTGTTTTTTAAAGGGGATCAATTAAAAGTCAAATTGGCCAAACTGAAATTTTCGGAAATTGGAGATGGATGCCTGTTTTTAGTATTAGGGGGACGTTTAGTATTAGGAGGAAGGGATTACATATTCCGGTCCCATGCAACATGACTTAGATACTTGTAATTGGGTTGTCGCTCGGCATATAAATGCATATATATATATAATATATACATATATATATATATTGAATAGTCTATGTCTATGTGCTCTCCTTTCGTGCCCCCTCCGCCAGCTGCAAAACATTTTCTTTCCATCCTCAAATGGAATAGCGGAACGTTTCACCTTCTCATTGCCTTAGCATCCTTTTTCTTCATGTTGTGCAACTCGCCCTTGCCTTTCTCACTCACAGTTTTGCCAATCACAGCTCGGGTTTCGTAAGGTGCATTCCCTTATGGTGCAACAAATGCACTGATTGTTGATCTGATTGCCAAGGTTGTTTTGTGCAGATACACTGATTGTTTCGTCAAACAATGTCCGACCCTTTCTCAAATTCTTCCTCGAGCGTCCTAAAAGTCTAAGAGCATGTTTTACAACAGCCTTGTCCACAATTGTCTCTCATAGGTGTATAATGAACCCTTGGTACACACCATAGATGTCACACGACAGCTTTGTGAAAGCATTTTCTCGTGAGAACTTATTTTTCTTGCCAGCGCACATTTTGAGTGGGCAGCATTTCGCTTGGGTCGTGGGGTTGCGCAGCGCGAGGAACAACTGCTGATCGCGGATGCCAACATCAGCAAGTCCAGTGGGAAATTCAGAAGACGAGCAGAATATGTGGAAATGAACAAGGCTGAAAATAGATGAAAATAGCTCATAACTCATGGCAACCAACAAAATGAATGCACACATGTTCAGAACCAACTTTCGCAAGACGCATCTACATATCTTTCAACAAGGTGCAGTGGAAGATGATGTTTGTTCATGGCACGGAGCGTGACAATTCCCTCATCAATTTTTACACGGTGCGAGATGCTTAAACAAATGTCGCTGGTTCTGAAACGACCCGTATGTATTTGTTTTCAACAGAGCAGCACAGCACTGCACTGAATTGCAGAGTAGAAAACCTTTTATAGAACAGCTCCACATATGTGTACTGCAGTCGCAAAGTTACGATTAAGTGCGGGGAAGCAAGCGCGTGAACACCAACACGTCAAGGGGCGGGGCAAGGAGAACATTCAAAATCATTCTTAGGTCTTAGGAAAACCTCACGAAAGAATGAAGGCACTTCACTTCGTCAAGATAACCGAGTGGGTTGCTTATACTTGGGACAATCATGCAGGGCAATATATGGAAACTTCCGTTTTGAAAGTAGCAACTACATACAGTTTATGTACTACGTTTCACGGGTGGGAGCCTGCAGGGTCAATTTTGAGCCCAAAGATAGACAGTTTTTCAACGCAAACGCACACAGTATAGTGGCATAAATGTGGCATATGTGTGAACACGAAGGCGCTGAGGCAACTTTGCCAAGTTTCAAGATTCAGACCAATGTAATGGATGTGAACAAAATGGTAGGAACATGTAGGAACGTTGAAAATGAGATGGAACCCATGCTGATCTTTTTCCCTGCAAACAACACAAAAAACGATGTGTTGTCGTCCCTCTGCACAAAGGAAAACTTGCTTCGTGAACAACACTCACCAGGCCAAAACCTAGAGCATCGTGTTGCGCAGAAACTTCAAGTACCTGCTGTACTTTGGGGCCCAATCCAAAGACATTGGAAGTCGGTGCACATATTCTTTGGGAAGGGATAGATTGATGCTTAAGATGTTTGGTTGCTAGGCCAAAACGTAGCTTTGAGGTTTTGATTTACGGCGTCAGCATCGCAATTTTTGATTAATTGGCTGCTGCTTGCCATCACCTTCTTCTAGCCAATGGCGTCAAGAATTGCGTGAATCTGACCGTTTGCCATGCTTCTCTTCACACGTCCCCACTTGTAACAAACACATCGTGTCCATCGCCAATAGGACGTCAAGCGTCGAAAGTGCGTGGAATTAAAAATGCCTTTGTGTAATAGCAACCTTGCCGTGTTGGGGCTACAAAATGCTACGCCAACTCTCAAACCAAATCAGAGCGGCAAGAATACCAACAAAGCCATCACCATACGTTTGATTGTCGACGTCGCCCAACCAGTACAACAAATGAACTTCATGCAACAAAAACTTGTCACAGGTATGTGGAACCACTTAATCTCTATGAAGCGAGGGTGTGGGTATCTGGCGCACAGCAAACTTTGTCATCTACATTTCAGCTTCTGTGGAGTTTCGGATGGACGCTCGCACTTATCCACCAAAGAATACATCACCTAGAGTCCTAGAGTTGAACGGGCGGCACAACAAAAAGTTTCGCATGTTCAGCAAGTATTGTTGCCTCCGTATTCCTTTTGTTGTGGTTTGTGCATCTCAACGTTGTTCGCCTCTCGTTCTTCTGCACAATCGCTGTCGGACCCCTGCTTGTTTGCGCACGTATCCGCACAATTCAAAGATGTTTGTATCCGACTCCATACCACTGGTTGTATTGATGCTGCAAAGATGTAGAATATATAATATGTATGTGTATATATATATATTAATATTATACATATCATCACTTGACATGTGCTCAGACCTTCGGATCAAATCCTGAGCACATGGTGGCCTTCCCTATGCCCAAACCTTGAAGTCCACTGGTGACAGCCTGCCAACCCTCTACACACTCCTGAGTTTCGTTCGACGTAGTCTGAAGATGCTTAAACGCTTGCAGCTGCAGCTCTATCATTTTCCAATCCACGCGAGCCGCACTCACTCAAGAATCAGTCGGCACTCAATGTGGTACTTTGACCATGCTGGACACGGTACCAACCCATCTTGCGGATCTTGGACTTTTTTCATCTTTTCTCATGTCCAATCCAGGACGCAATCTAGAAAGACCTGAAAAACTTACAAAGAAACCAACTGGTTCAGTGAGAAATTGGCTTGGCTGGTTAGGCTGGGTTTTTAAGCGGTTCAGGCTTGAAACTTTGCCCTCTCACAAATCCACGCCGACTGCGCGTCGTCGCTTCTTTTTCCAGGGTGCTGCCTCCTCGAGCATGGGACTGAGCCACATCACTTGGGTGTTGATTTATGGTACCTTTGTGAACATCAAGAGTTGAAGACTTCACTTGTTCACCCCACATGTTTGGATTTGGTGCTTTGACCCACGGATAAGTTAAGCTGGCAGGGGCCATGAATTTCGATGACTCGTTCAGTCCCAAAGAAGAAGAAGAAGTAGAAGAAGAAGAAGAAGTGTCAAAACATGCGAACTGCATTTGTTCTAATAACACGCAAGACTATATGGAAGTGAATTTTCAAGGACATATGGTGCACAAATGAATAACTTACAACCTGCAGGTGGTACTTGCCATGGATTTTACTTCGTCCTCGTTATCATCTTCTCCGCCACCCAGCAGCAACATGGAGTATGCCATGAGCCTTTTCTGCGCATCGTCCTGAACCCATCCCGGGAGGAAGCGGCTCAGTCTTCACAAAGCAGTATGATCCAACGCTTGGCTAGGACGGTTCATGACGGTTCTAGCGTTTACGTTTCGATGTGGACATCGTCATGCCTTGACAGACCTCCAAAAGTCTTGAAATATCTTGTGCTCTGACTCTATTCAATCATACTCCATCCATCTCTATCCATCTTTATCCTCAATAGAAACGGAAGTCCTCCGGTGCTGGTGCAGGTGTCATGGGAGTCGATGGAGTTCTCGGAGTGCTTGGAGCCATTGGAGGGCCAGGCAGCCCAGGCAGGGCAGAGACACCAGGAAGCCCCTGAAGTCCCGGCGGCCCCGGGGGCGGCGTGGTGGGAGCCATGGGCTGAGTTTCCCTCTGCAACAGCTGCTTGATCTCAAGCAGTTTCTTCTCTTGAAACGGAGCTGGCGTGAGAGGTGTTGAAAGAGGTGCAGAAGGTGGATGCTTTGCAATGGCTTTTTTCGGTGCTGCTTTGCGCTGCCTCTTGGGTATGGCTTGGGCTTTGGGTTGCCTTAGGACCTCCACCGACAGAGCTGTCTCTTCTTCAGGCTCAACATGTTCCAAGTATGGGTCAACAAGGACTTTGACGGTTGTTTCTGCATCGTCATCTTGAAGTCTGGGATCATTTGAGCGAGATGGCCTCGTCCTTGGATCTCGTGCAGGATCACTCGTTGCAGCTGGACCTTGTCTTACCACTTGAGGCGCTTGAGCTGGTTGAGCCACCTGATCCTTCTCATCTTCAATGAGCTCCACTTTGACAGCTGAACCTTGGCGCGGTGCCGGTAGTCCTCTCTGTCGCACCTTCGGCACAGGCTGAGATTTCTCTAGTCGCTTTTTCTCCTCCTCTCTCTGCTGAATTGCTCTCTGCTCCTTTTCTCGTTGCTCGCTCTCTTTCTGCTCCTTCTCTCTCTGTGCTTTCTCTCGCTCCCTCTGAATCCTCTCCCTTTCCTCCCTTTCAAATTCTCTCCTCTCGAGTTGCTCCTCTTGAGAGCTTTTTGCTGGCCGGTGGCTCGCACCCACGTCTCCCTGACCATTGGCCGATTCCTGGGACCACGATCGGCATGGGATCAGGTCAAGAATTCAAACGCATTGTTTCCAGCATTGATGTTGCAGTATGTTGCAGTGCAACTTATGCTTTACACAGCTACTGTCCTTGGCAGGCTTGGCAGTTGATGCAGCACCTTAATGGAGAGCTTGGACAAGCTGAGCAAGTGTGAAAGCCATGATGAATCAGCTTACCATGCAACTCCGGACTTCCGCCATCGTTTCTTGAATGTCACTTTTTCCGGCTCGGGCACGATAACATCCCCTGTGAAACCTGGTGCTTGTGGAAACCAGAAAGAACATGTACTTTACATCAGTCTCAGCTGCAGCGTGTCCAACAGGAAAGAGTGCTGGACTATCGAATCTATGTACAAGCATATGACGGCATATGAAATGTGGCACAGCGCATGAATCAGTACATCTTACTCTGGATAGATCACCCTGAGCAAAAAGGAGAGCAGCTATAGAGCTTTGGGACTCTGGAAAAGCGGCCCTCACAGAAAGCTCTTTCGTAAATCTCAAAAGAGGAAGACCAAAAATCAGTGAACTATTTGGTCATTGAGGGGTATCCTGGTATCCTTAACATATTGTCCACTTCGCGACAAGAAGGCCACCAGTGCTGCCGTAGTATCCCACAAGTTTTTCTCGCTGAACAAGACCTCTCATCCACTAGCATGCACTCTTCACCCAAGCCGTCGGATCTTTCCACAAAGCCTGAACAATTGTGGCATCTCCCTTTCCCAAAAGGAACACAAGGCAGGAAGACGAGGCAGGAAGACTAAGGAAAATCACATGTGACTGCTGCAAAAAACCACAACTTTGGACACTTATGACACTTCAACAGGGTCCAACAGTTGAATTTCATTGAACTTCAGCATGTGACGCCAAGCAGCTGTGGAGACATGTCGCTCTGTTCAGCTCTTTGCAATCAACCTTTCCAGTGATCATTCGTCCAACACCTCGGCCAAATTTCCCGCAAGCGAAACGCGGTGCATCTCTGCTTCATGACAGATTCATGACATGCAGAAGTTCATGTTCATTGCTTTCAGCCAAGGCACATGGCTGATAGCATTGCTGAACACCTCTGCAAGCGCCTAAAACCTGGAAATTCAGAGATTGGAAAGAAGGCATAAGCCATAAGCTTTCACTGTGTGCTGCCTCGTAGTCTGCCTCGTAGTATGCCAAGGAGCATCAAGACTGCACTGCATGAAACCATCTCCACAGCCATGATACATTTTCATACAATCTTCCTGAGCTTCACAAGGGTCCTTAGGAGCCGCCAACTAGAAGCTAGAATGAGACTTTCGGGCCGACGCCAAAGAACTTGACTTCATGTCTCCTGTGTGTGTGTGTCTTAGCATCTCTGCAGGTCTGTTCACGGGACACATGAAAAGGGACTTGAAAAAGATGATCACAACTTTGCTCTCTCTTGGACAAGAAAGGTGTCAATGTGGACTTAGCCAATATGGCTTCAGATATATATATATATATACACGGCTAGCCGAGCGAGTAAAGTAGAAGACATGCTCTCTCGAAAACTATGACATGCTTTAGATAGATCTGCCAAGTCTCTGTCCCATCGTCACTACAAGGAAGCATGGTGCCATTGCAGGTTGAAAGTCCAACATTTGGCGTTTCCTGAGGGCACCATGCAGAGTCATTAGAGCTTTCACACTGCATCAATCTTGCAGTTCTAGCTGACAAAAAGGAGCAGCTGAGGAAAGCTAAAGACATAAATTGAAATGATGGATTAATATGATGGAGTCAAACCCTCTACCCGACTTTCGACACTCAAAAGCTTTCAGTTTTTGGCGAGCTACAAAGTCCGAATTTTGCAGTTTTCTCCAGTATTCGCTCCGAAAGTTTTTGCCATCGTTGGAGTCTTCGCAAACTCCATAGAGGATGGTGCAGTGCTGCACTACTGCTTGCCATCGAATCTTGGATGCATTGCGGCATCGAACAGTACGAGGATCACTATGTATCACCATTACATCGAGCAACTGGGTGGAAACCAGGCTTCAATTAACATGCAATTCATTGCAATGCAGTAGTGATCCCTGCAGTGCAGGAAATGGCTTTTGCGCAGATCAATGAATGAAAAGGTTACTAAAATCTCATCAGTCTTGCCAAGAAGCACCCACACAAACATCGCCCTCTTCAGTGCATCTATCAATGCAGGCTTTCTTGCTGGCAGCGATTTGATCATCATATTTGCCTCGACTGCTTGCAAGTACAGTGCATGAGATAATAAGGTGAATTTCCCTTGCGGCAGTCTATCCAATGACTGCTTCTTCCCCCGTTATCTTCCTTAGTGAGTCAGAAGTCATGATCAACAGAAATGAAAAACAACCCGTCCTATGATGGTCTGTATCTGGATGGCTTGCTTGGGAAGTACTGTTGCAAACGCTGAATTTTGCAGCAGAGTAGTACCAAATAGTACCAACACTCACAAATAGTCCAGTCCACTCGCAGTGCTGCTTCTGTCTGCGAGACGCTAATAAAGGTTCCGAAAAGAAAGTAACTATGAAGCAGCTCTCCTGTCTGGAAAGGGAACCATATCTGTGCCTTTACATAAACATATCATCACAAGCAACATGGTCGCGAAGGATTTTCAAGGCTCTGGCCTCCAGCTTCCTTACAGACTTGCCTGCACCAAAAAATGCCATCTCACTGTTTCAAAACCCAGCAAAACTGATGCTACCATCGGGATGGGAAACAACAACAAGCCATGTCCACATCTGTGGGCCTGCCATGATCACCAGCATTTTTGCTGCAGTACAACGTGGACTTTGCCGCTCCCTTGGGGTCAAAGCAGTGATCGTCTCTCAAAGCTTCATATTGAACCTGAGCAGCAACCAAAAAAGACGCCTGAAAGCAACATCCACATCATCCAGGAGCAGTATGCTGAGTAGTTTCTGCCAAATCCTCTCAATTCTAGACCTGAAATCCTGAAACGGCTCACAGTGCAAATCCCATTCCACACAAACAAGCTGCTCCAGGATATCTTCCGATCACCTGACCTGGCAACGTCAAGGGTGTGCTGAAGATCTGTCAGAGAATGACTGACCGCCCATCTGTGCGATCACTTTCCCCCAGGCCTCGAACACAAGTGCTCAAGGTGGCTAGCACAAAGCAAAACTTTGACCTGACCAGCCAAACGAGTGGATGTTTGATGTTTCCCTACATTAGGGACCTCCAAGCGTCTAAAGGATTCCTCGCAAAAAAAAGATATCATAGATGTTGATGATTTTGATGGTTCCCTATTTCCGGAAAAAAACAAATCGATCTGTCGCCTTCAGTATTCCAAGGATAGCCTCAGCTACACACCTCACAATATTGAATCTGTGTGCAAAACGCCATAAAAGAAAAATGGTGGCCTCAACTCCCCACATATTACAACTTTTCAGCCATTCGAGGAATCTGCCTCAAGGAGGCCGTCCCATGCATCATGAGCAAACAACTACCCTTGGCCACCCTGAACAAGATGGCTGCGGCATTCACGAATTCAGGTGCTCAAAATCATAGCGAGTTGGATGGATTGAACACTTTACAAGTTAAACTGTAATTCAGAGGATGCCTTTGGCGCAGAATTCGCAACAAGAAGAACAACAACGCTAAAGGGTCGAAGATGGCGTCTCAGCTCATGGCTTCGCGCAAGTATTGAACCACCTCACCCAAATGCAAAAGTGTGGCCCCTTCCAAAGCAAACTTCCAAAGCAAATCAAACCTAAAACGAATAAATCAAACCGAAAACGTCTACAGAGTCTACAGAGTCTACCAAGCACATCCAAGCGGAACAGCAGCGCTGCAACCGGCCATCCTGAGAGCGGTGCCATTGTCATGGGCCTCGTTTCAGCTGCGCAGCTAGGTTCCCTGTGGGAAGTATAACTTCAATACCAAGTACTCAGAGTAACAGCGAATTTTGTTAGAAGTTGAATACCTATTGTCTATTGATAAGTATCATTATGATATATTATATATATATAAGCTCAGACTCACCTTCTCCGCGTGGTCTGTTCAGACATCCAGCGTCCATATCCACTCGGTCCAAATGATGCTTGAAATCAATATAAACCTAGCGGGGTATTCGTTTCGCTGGTGAAGTAGCGTGTCCTAGATTTAGATTGGGTCCGACAAGTGCAAAGGGTTCGAAACCAGTGCTTCAAATATCAAAGAAAATGGCCTGCGAAACAGCAGTTTGCGAAGCAACAAGTCAATAAAAGTGGCGACAATCTCAAGAAAGACCTGAAGGTGGTGAGCTTCAGGTTCTAGGTTCTAGAACAGCTACGGACAAGTATGTAAATTGAACTGATCCCGCTTTCGAAAAGTTAGATTGGAAATGCTGAACTGGACAACAAGGAAAACGGGGGGTTCAGTATCATTGCAGTGACCTTCGGCCACCCGAAGCAAAGCAGCACTTCGTACCATGGGATCTGTGGCCCTATGCAGATTTGTGGACCTACATAGCGTGCCTCAATCTGCAAGAGCAGCTTGTCAAATTCTTCCATCTCGTCCTGCCACTTGCGAAGCACTCGTACGGTTCGTACCACCAAACATGTTCAAACGGCCCATTTTCAACCTAGACTTTGCCAAAAGATGCCAAAAGCAAGTTCTCTGACAGAATGCAGATTCTGAGACCTTGCCACAATATGCCACAATGCAACCGGATGCAACTGGTCAGTCCACTAAAGGTGGAGGTGGCAGAACTTTCACTGGTGCTGCATGAGCAATGGGCATCCTGGGCATCCTTGGTCTGCGATTTCTCGAGCCCAGTCTTCAAGGCTTTACATATTTTACATGGATTGTGAAGAGGTTGCAGCTACACAGGGTCAAGGAACGTCTTAGGTTTCTGTTTCTGCAGAGCGGAGGCCTCAAATTTCTCCAATGCTTCTGTTTAAAAATCACGCTTGTGTTTGATGCTAGGGATCAGGCAATGGAGCACCTGACACTACAAAGATAGAATTAGATGTTTTTTGCCAGACTGTCGAGACTCTGTGGAGTCATCCCTTCCCCTTCTATGGGCACCTAGAAAGTCATCAGGCCCACCTGCCAGTGCCAAACAAACATCGAAATGTCATCAAATGTGCTGTTCGTTCAATGAGATTCGATGTGTTCTGCAAACGTCTTCAATGAAAGAATTGGAAAAGAAATCTTACAACTTGAACCTTGACTCTAGCGAGCTCTGATAAGGCCTGCAAGATTGGGTGCTGGCAATGCCAGCTGGCTTGGTGGATCGGGATCGGCGTCAGGGCTTTCTCGCTTCTCCATGCCTCACCAGGCGGTCCAGGGTCATCTCGCAGCTTGAGCTTCGACAAAGTGCCAAAAATGCGAAACATCCCAAAGCAGGCTGTCCTTTGACCAAGACAGCACCAAATCAGGAGCTTGCAAATCAAACAAATCAAACAAATCATCACACATTTTCCCAGCGCAGGCCAATGCGTCAGCAGTCTTGTACTTTTGCATTCTCGTTGGAGTGAGGTCGTCGGTAACAGAAACATGCTCGAAACAGCATTGTCTTGATCCATTTCTGCATGAATTGGCATATCTTTATAGGGTGTAAATCTGTGCATATATGTATAGATATATATATATTCTTACATACAATATATGCACATATATATATATATATTATAAATGTATATCCAAGGAAAATCCACATTAAGAACGACCTGTCAAATCAAAATGGAGGCATCTGTAGATTCTGCTCTCTTATATCATTCACGAGCTCCTCACGCAGCTCACGATTTCTAGCCACTTCTAGCTACTGATGTCCGATCACACAGGCTTGATCCTGAAATGCAATCCGATCAGGCTGAACACGAAGCACTTGAGATCCTGCACCAGGTAGTAGAAGACACGAAGTCCTTCCGGATCCTTGGAAGCCTGCACATCTGCTAAGGAGCCGATCTTGGAAGTCGTGAAAGAAATGTGTTCCTTTCCACAAACGACCTCAAGTTCTTGTCGGCCAATGCGGTCTGGGGCAGGCCAGTGGTTGTCATCTTCCTTCAAGATCTCGCTGTCTTCAATCATCTTCCTGAGCTCCTTCATCACTGCTGAAGTGACGTGGGCCTCTTTGCGGATCATCACATCATTTTTGTAATTGGAGTTGTTTGCATAGCGAAGACGTCCATCTGGCCGGAACTCAAACTCCAAGAACTCGTGCCCAAACTTGCCCTTGTGACCAACGTAGTAGCGCACGTAGAAGTCTTCCTCCTCAGCCATCCTTGCCAAGTGCGTCCCGTAAAGCTTGGGCTTCGGCTGAGCCAAGACTGCTCTCACTGGACAGGAACAAACATCACAGGATGCTGCAATTGAAAGAAACATCACAATCATGATCTGCACATGAACAAATCAAACAACCTGGAGAAACACTGGACCATCAAAAGGAATAGAGGCTCCTGAAAAATCATGGTTCAATCGAAAAGACCTTCCAACACCTGCAACACTTGCAACGCTTCATTGCTTGTAGCATCCACAATGCACTCAAAAAGGCTGTCCTTTCGACTGGTCTATCTAGGTCTCCAACTGGGAGGCACCCAGGCACCTGGAGTCGGGCCTTCAGATGCAGCAGCCTCAATGCAAAAACAAAAACAGCAAACTGTCCAAACAAAATGAATCAAAATGATTCAAACTAATCCAAAATGATTCAAAACAATGACTCAAAATAATCCAAAACATACAAGACATCCACAGCAATGACAGTCTGATCTTGAGGTCTTGGCAGACCGCGAGACTCGTGGAAGCTCGGGTACCCATCCAGGTGCAGCTTGCGCCCAGTAAACAGCCTCAGTTAAAAAAAGACGTCACGAGCTGCTGAAAGGTGACAGTTTGATGTTGTCCCTCCAAGTTGTTGCCGAACAACATGAGATTTCAATAGATTTCATCTGATCATCATATCTGATCCAAGCTTGCAGCTGGCGATGGCAAACCGTATCTGGACCCTCCCCAGTTCCTGATTTCCAAGCAAAAATGAAGCGGCTATTGTGGATTTCTGCATGGAACCGAGAATCCTCTTTGAGATCAGTCAACTCAATGGGTTTCAGAATTTATGCAGTATTTATGCATCATGTTTCTCAGTTTCTCGAATCATTTCACGAGGCTCGCACCCAGGAGCTGAGTCCACATCTTTTGGCCGCCGGCCACGACTGCGGCTACGACTCCGGCTGCCCCTTCCTGCGGAAGATACTTGGCACGAGACTGAGCACTATGGCGGTGTTAGTTAAACTATAGATATACATGATTGTAGATATATATATAGAGAGAGAGATAGAATGATAGATATTATATATATATATATACGTATGTGTATATATATATGTGTGTGTGCAGTGATGTGCATTGACATTCGATCTGCATTAACTCCTATGTTTATAGGAAGTCCGCACTCATCTAGTATATGATAAACAAAGAAGAAGCTCTGCTTTCATACAAATGGATGGATAGACAACGTGATGATAGATAGCCGATAGCTAGCAGTAGAAGGTAGAAAGCTGGATATACACACAGATAATTCAAATACACAGATTCAGATAAGTAGGCAGGACGTAAGTGGGTAGCTTAAGCTCTTGGTATGGTTTCATATGCACATCTGCCACATACATGGTACAAAATGTTGGTTTAAAGTATCTGCATATGATGTATTAATAATATGCTGATAATTGACGTTTTGCTGAAACAGATCCGCGAAAAAGTGTTACCAGCCATAGTCTACACTGAGAAGCGAGCTTTGCCGCGCCTCATCAAGGAGTTTCTGAAGCATGTTCTTTTACAGGGCGGTAGCATTACATTGATCATTTTGGTCGAAGAATGTGTTATCAGCTATCTGATGCTATCTGTCTTCCAAACTGCAACTGATACTACTCAACTACTCAGTCAGAATCTACCATTGTAAGCTCTGCACAGCTCGCTTCCTGAGTTGGCAAAAAAAAACAACAAACAAGAGACGCCAAGGAATGCCTGAAAGTTTATTGTCAAAATTCTTGTGTTGCAAACTGTGTAACTGCAAGCAAATGGCCCAACAAGACACAAATGCTTTGACGGCCAGTTCAATTCTAGAAGTACGGAATGCTCGCAGCAGTTCACATGGTGAAAACCCCTTGACCTGACTCCCTCAACATCGCTTAGGACCCTGCCCAGCAGCCTCAGAGAGCAAGACCAAACAACTAGTAACTAGCAGACTGCTTTGTTGGGCATTAAGTTTGTGTGCCGGTTGCAATGTACCTTAAATTCCACAGTAACACTGTTTTTCCAGGAAAGCTCTGTAGAGGCCCTGACGTGTCTTTCTGCGCTGCGACTGCGGCTGCAGCTCCGCTTCACTCCGTCACCTCATGCAGAATCGATTCACATCTCAAGCGGTCCAGTCTGATCCAGTGAATATCAACATATAGACACACATAGTTCAAATCGATGGGTGTAGTGTAAAAGTCCGCAGATTCTTTGCAGACAGGATGCGTTTCCAGACAGAGCTCTTGCCGCTTCTTCTTGTATCCAACCAAACAATGCCTTGATTGGAACAACGGCTTCAATGATCGCAAATCATCTTTCTGCATTTTCTCAAAGGCACTCACTCTGCTTCAAGGTCGAAAACTGAGTGAACGACACTCCTCTGAACTTTTTTCTGTATCCAAGTCATAGTGGCCTTAAATCTGCAGCTTCCAAGGTTAGACTTGAGCAAACCCCACCTGCAAATTCGCCAGCCTCTGCACACAATGAGCTGCCAGCCACAAGTGAAGCCACTTCCGGTAGACTTCACATCTAAACGGATCGGTGGACGACCTTGCCCATTGGGGCATCTGCCAAGGCTGCAATAGGCCAATGGGGCTACAAGATGCTACAAGTGTAAAAGCAAATGTACCCACAAGGTCGAAGCCCTAATCCACTGCACCCTCAAATGATTTCTTTGCGGATCCCTCAAACCACACTGTGCGGCGCATTCTCTGTATGCACATGCATATTCAGTCCCTTTGAAGAAAGAATACATATGTGTGTTAGACATATATATATATATGATATTATATGTATTATATTGAGTTTGAGTGTAAACTTACGTACAGTACGTGTATACCACTTTCGAAAAACAGTTTCGAAAGGCATTAGCTCATTAGCTAAAGTATCCTCAAATGTTCTCAAAGGCCTTTCATGACCCGAATGGCCAATTGACGCATCGCACACGGCGGCAATCAGAGTGCGTTTTGTTCCAATCAGGTCCGAATCAGGCCATGCGGTCAGCCAAACGCAGCAATTCCTGCGAAAATTCCACTTGGACTCATGCTGCTCTTTGGGTTCGTCAGAACCACACTGAGCCTGAGTCAGAATGAGTCCCATTTCAGTCGGAATGAATGAATCCCAATTTGCCGTAACAAAACATCCAGCAAACAAAGATGCAAATGAGGACTGTTCAGAGACCCAAACCGACTATTTATCTCCATCATCTGTGACCAAAAGTACTAGACAGTTCAAGCTGTTGCTCTTGCAGCTTGGCACAATATAATTTCCAGCATATATCATATATCATATATCATATATCATATACAATGGTATGCTGGGCTTCTGGCTGCCCTCCCCGGCTTCCAGCTTTGGCCCAGTCTACACTGACGTCGTTCCCGAAGGAGTCCTCGCCGAGATTGACGCAAAGGCACATTTGTGGTGGCTCTGGTGCAAAGGATTGCAAACTTGAGAGCAAGCAGAGGCGGATGAAAGGTCGGTTGGGTCTATGAAGAGAGCGGGACGTCCCGTTGTGATGTCTCGTTCAGTGACCATTTTTTGTGCCCGTACGCGGCCTTTGACCATCTACTCGGTGCCCCTGACATGCTTTGCATCTGTCGTGTATGCTTGTATTTGCTCAAGTTGAAACTGTGTGAATTCATCCGTTGTCAACGCAGGACACAACCCAAACGCAGTAGCAGATATCAAGTCAGGCAAAGAGGTGGAAGATTTGATGTTTTGTTGTTGCCTTGCAACTGTTGGTGCGGCATTTCTTGTTTCTTGAGGTGTCATTTCGCCTGTGGCAAAAGTTCACATTGTTGTGATTCATTTTGTTTGGTGCTGCCAAGCTAGTAGTATGGCAGGCCCCTTCCTATCATGATGATTGCACAGTTTGTCTTTTTCCAAGAGTTTCAGCGATCCGCCACATACAATTTCTCTAGTCAACCATGTTTGGGTTACCTGCGGTTCTGAGAGGCCCTGTTTGTCTTCCATCTTCATCTGGTGCTTTCTAGTAGTTCATCCCTGCAATTCAAAACCGTTATAATTATTAACATGTCCATTCATTGAAGGGTCCATTGAGCATTTCAAAAGGTCGTGTTGCTTTTTTTTGTCTGCTGGAAACAGGTGAGTTGGCACAAGTCGAGTGTTGCGGAGGCGCAGAAGTATCACGCGATAGTGTGCACACTTGAAGCTTCACAAAGACTTCTTGCTTTGCAGTGTCGGAGCATTGTAGCTTACATTTCATCTGTATTTTTCTGGTGCTGAAGACAAAGGCTAGAGCTTCTCCGCTTACCATTGCCTGAGGCTCCCGGACAAAAAGGGTCTTATTTTAAACCCAGTTTTTTCTTCCATCATCCGGTGGTTTTTTAGGGCCGGTATGGCGGTATGGTCTAGTGGATAAGACGCATCCCTCATGCGTCAGACCCCGGTTCATTGCCCGGGTGCAACACTAGCTGGACAAACGGGCCACTACCCCACCCCTGTAGTTAAGGGGATAAGCTAGGGTGTGGTCCGTAAAAACACTCTCTCTCATCCGGTGGTATTCTCCAGACATCTTCTGGCCACTGCGTTCACATTTCTCCTGCACCTGCGGGCTCTTCCCTTGTAGGCGGCAACGCAGTGTCATTTTTTCGACTAGACTAGCCAAGGTGGGAGTGTTGTTGAATGCATATAAGACCACAAGGCAACCTCTGTTTTAAGTTTCTGCGCGAAGTGTTAGCAAATTATTCTTCGACCTCGAGCGCAACAACTGGGTCTTGAGTCTTGAGGTGAGCTGGATGGATTCTGCGATATATAGGCCAGGGTGGAAAGTTTGTGCAAAGACCGTGGACAATCAGCCGTAGAATGTTACACCGACTTGTTGAACATGGTGGATGTTCTGAATCTTAAGAATTGCAGATCCCCGCAGAAGAAGTTGAGGCATTTTGCTGATTCGATCATTTTCACTGTCTGGCACAAGCAATTTCACATGCCATAGCTGCATCATATCCTTTGCCTGACAGGCATGCAGCCTAGCCGGTCCTTCCATTCTCCAAGAAATGTCTCAAGTTCAACACTCATGGCCCGCAATGAACAACCACAATGCACACTTGATTGTTGTCATGCTGTTTGTCCTCCGTTTTCACACAAATACAATTATGCTACAAATGAGGCCTTCACCCTTGATGATTCGTAAGATCTGTATCATCCCTATTCTTTCGAAGGGTCCCAATGAACCAATTATTGAAGAGCTCTATCATTCAAAGTTCCTGTGTTTGGCAACCAAGAACATTATTTCCACAACGATCCAAAGACATGTAGCACACCACTGCGATGTCTATTTCACTGACGCTGGAGCCAGAAGCCATTTGAAGTCACACATCATGTTGTCACACAACTGGGGATTTCCGCAATGAGGTGAAAGTTTCTATGCCACACTGATCTCGTCTGATCTGGACATGATTTTGCGGCTTGTCCTGCTACTAGTACTGGCAAAAGAAAGCGCAATGAAGGCACACTGGTTTGATGATATAGACGCAAGGTTGCCTCACTCCATGATATCTGCAGGGATCAGTTTGAGGCAAAATATCACTTTTCCAATTATCGGCTGCTTGGGATACTGGATATCCAAATATCAGGATATATCAGGTAGATTCGCCAGCTTGTTATCGCATAGCTCTTAGGGCAGCAGTGTGCTCAAGCCCTTTGCATTGACCTTGTCGTTCGCAAGGCTGTGAAGATATTGCAGAAGCACTTCTGCGGATCCTTTGCTGTGTACCATGCACTGCTAAAGGAGAATGTTTGGACACCTGCAGGGCTCATTCTGCCCATGCTGTCCTACAAAATATAGCAAAATGATTGAGACGTTTGCATGCTCCGTTGCCCAAGGACCTGGTTTCAGCAATATATACTGAGTATCATTCAGTATCAGTTTACAAAGCCATAGCTGTGGTGTGTATTATATATATTATACTTACCATACACGGAAATCATGGGCAAGGAGCCAGCATGTCTTAAGAAAATCGGGCTTTGCTCAGCTTTGCTGCTGGCCTCCCTGGATTTTGGAAGGTCAGCTGGAGAATATGACGTGCAGCTGCTTTGCAGTCGCCACATCAGTGCAAAAGGCTCTTATCCGCACGTTGTCAAAAACTTCTTCAGGTTTCCTAATGTACTTTCAACCAAAAGAGGAGCCCAAGAAGCTGAAAGTAAATCTTGGACTTCTCTGATCCATCGAGGATTTTTTATGTATCAACATTGAAAGTTGTCAGTGCACAGAGACCATGTCGCAGCAAACCCTCTCACCATTGAATACACACCTGGAAAAGAAGCAGTGCGGTCGCAAACCAGTCGCCATGACCAAATGTGGTCTTGAAGAACCAACTGCCTAACCGACTTCTGCCACTGGGGCTTCTGCGGTATCGGCTCATCCTGCCTGGAGCCAACCATTATCTCTGTAAATCTGGTGGAATCACACATTTTGCACATTCAGTGCAGTAATGAAAGCAAACGTCAGGCATCAAACATCGCAAATCATCAAACATTATCCAACATCGCCAAACATCAAACATCGTAGCTTCTGAGTACTTTTAAATACTTCTGAGCTGCTAGCCCACCACTCTTGTGTGCGCAATTGATGTAAATCACGTCCTCCACTTCCTGTCGCAGCTGCACTTCTTGGCTGTTCAGGCAGTTCTCTGTACTCCGGTTCTTCTCAATGCATTGGATGCAGCGCTTCACCTGGCCTTGCTGAAGTTCTTAAATGTGTGTCCATACAAATGGCAGGAGCTCCTGGCAAGCGAATCGCATTCGCAAGCGGAAGCATTTGCAATGGAAGCCATGTTGTTTGGGGAAAAAACATTGAAACTCTCTCGACAATTGTGAGATTTGACATGAAGTGCAACGGACCTGGCTTCTCGGATTTGATCATCAAGTTCTGCACAGCCCGATACCTACACAGCGTCACACCCAAACTCTTCAATTGTCGAGCAGAAACTCATAGCTCAGCTGTGGCCTTTGCTCCACCATATTCTCTGGAGACCTGGGAGCACAGGATGTAAGGAACTCCATAAGAACGCCAAAAAATCCTCTCAAAAGTTTCCTACTTAATATATTTAATATATATATATACTTATATAATGATCTTAATTTAATCTTAATGATTTTACTCTCAAGGCTCGGAGGCTCTGGCGGGCAAAGAGCTTCGAGGCACAAAGTGTGAGAAGGTCAGAACTGTTCCATGGTACCTGGCGTCACCAGTCCTGCCATGTCCCTCAACCAGTACCATGTCAACACATTTTCTCCAAGGGCACGGTCTTTTAAGTTCGTTCCTGTTCAAGGCAAGCATGTATCTCCAAACCTGTCAGCAACAAATTGGCAAGTTGGCAACAAGAGTTTCAACCCAGCAACAGTCAAACTCTTCAGTACATGTCTTGCAGAAAAGGAAACTGAAGGAAATGTCAGGGTCTTAGCGGGACCAAAAGAGTTTCAGAATTTGAGAAGGATTTGTTGACGCCTTTTCAAGGCCTTTTTAAGTTGTGATGGTCGTGCAACTGTCAAAAGAAACGCGAGGCAAGGTATTCCAAATTTGGCACCCAAAGCAAAATACCGTAAACATTTTTGCCCCAGTTTCGAGACTGGCTACTTTTCCCATTCAGTTTATCTTGATGTATTTTGGTTCCAATTTGGCCTTGATTGATGTTGATATCCATTGCATTGATCCTACCAGTTTCTTCTGTCCGTCTGTCGCTTTACCTCAACCTATTGGAGTTAAATTGCCTTCAGATCAGCCGCAAAAAAAGGGGGGTCGAACGTTAATGTTTTGATAGCTGATGACGGCTGCCTGATGATTTGCGTCCATGGGCCATTTGGCATACCTGCAGCTACAAAGACCCGAACCCAACTGGCAGTTTCAGGCAGAACATACTATAGACGTACAGGGCCCTGAGAGCAGTGCTTGTCATGCTGGAACTGAGTGTCTGGATACCTTGCAAAGCGTGTGGTGCGATGGACAAAATGTACAGGGTAATAACAGGGTATAATGATACATAGTGACCTAATATCCGCCGACCCCATCTTGCAGCAGGGGGAGCGCATCAAAGAAGAGATTACAAGCAGCAAGGGGAAGGGGAGAAGATATGGAAGAAGAAAGCCAGCTGCAAGAGCAAGAAGCAAAAGCGAGTCAGCAAGAAGAAGAAGAAGAAGCAAGAGGCAACAGAAAGAAGCAGCCAGAGCAACAAACAACTAGCGAGTCAGCAAGAGGAAGAAACAAGAGGGAAGAGAAAGAAGCAAAATAAAGCAAACGAAAAAAAACAAATCAAGAACAAGCAATGGCATCCTGCAGCCGACGCCCGCCGAACCATTTAGTTCCATGGTGTTTTGCTGTGGCAAGCCAGGAGTTTGGAAGCTGGTTGCGTGGTTCGACATCGCAAAAACATCGAAAATTACAATGTTTTTGTACGTTTTGCATATAAAAAATACTTGTTGCAACAAGTTGAAAATCGCGTAATTATCAGTGTTTTTGCTAGGTTATGTCTCAAAAACACTGCAAATACCGTAGTAGATTTTGCTACCAGTGGCACAAACATCGCAAACACTGCAAATACCGAAGCGCCAAAAACATCGGTATTTCCAGCGTTATGTGCTCTGAGAGTCTCAAAAGAACGTGAAAACACAATCTATTTGACGATTTTTAGGACACACCAAAATGCGACAAAACGATGTGTTGTAGGATGGTTACAAGTTGCGGTATGCAAATAATATCAATGTGCTCTGCGGGCGCGATGTACAACGCCAACACTAACACTACCAACAATAACCCTTATGGCGTCCCCAGTGTGTGAAGCTCTACAAGTATGTATGTATGTATGTATGTATGTATGTATGTATGCATGCATGTCTGTATGTATGCATGTCTGTATGTATGCATGTATGCATGTATGCATGTATGCATGTATGCATGTATGCATGTATGCATGTATGCATGTATGCATGTATGCATGTATGCATTTATGCATGTATGCATGTATGCATGTATGCATGTAATGCATGTAATGCATGTAATGCATGTATGTATATTATGGTATGCATGCATGCATGCATGCATGCATGTAATGCATGCATGCATTTATGCATGCATGCATGCACTTATGTATGCATGCATGGATGTATGTATGGATGTAGGCATGCATGCATGTATGTATGTATGCATATACATGTACACACAAATCAAAACACTTTGCCAAATTGCGAATTAAGTAAAGAATGCCTTCTCTTCAGTTTTGCTTCAAGCTGCGGGTCTTCCGTATCGAACTCTGGATTGTACCAAGAGAAGAGAGGCACCACAAATACTCCTGCAAACCGATGTTCCACAACATCTTGCTAAATCAGAAGGAACCGAATCGGCTGTCAAAGGGTTGTCACATATATCATATATCCCCCACCTTCTGAAACAGCAGCAGGTGCAACTTCGACCCCCAGTCGATCGCAAAGCTGGCGTGAAAAACAAATAAACATCTGCACCGCATCAAGATATCCAAACAGGCCAGGGGAACCTCAAGAATCGCCCAAAGTTTGCACAAAGAATCCGGAAACCTTGCAAAAATAGTTTCTGTCATCATGACAGACAGTTTGTCATAAAGAATGCACTTGTTCCAAGACTTGAAAAGACGTCAACTCTGGAGAGTCTGAGAAGAACTGAAGGGTAAGCCATGGGCATCTGCGACTCCAGCGGTGTGATCCACATTTCATTATTTCCAGGCGTGAAGAAAATACGTCGAAACTTTGGCCGCAGTGCTGTCCTGAGCAGCGAAGTCAGTCCTGTATCGAATTACATACACCTAGATATTTAGATGCCCATGTAAACGTACATACATTACATTACATTACCTTACCTTACACTTACCTTAAATTTACCTTACCTTACCTTACCTTACATTACATTACATTACGATACATTACGTGCATACAAACATACATACATACATACATACATACCCACCTACCCACCCACCCACCCACCTACCTACCTACAAAAGTACATACATACATACATACATACATCCATACCATACCATACCATACCATAACATAACATAACATAACATAACATACATAACATAACATAACATAACATAACAAAACATAACATAACATAACATACCATAACATAACATACATAACATACATAACATACATAACATACATAACATACATAACATACATAACATACATAACATACATAACATACATAACATACATAACATACATACATACATACATACATACACACATACATACATACATACATACATACCCACCTACCCACCCACCCACCTACCTACCTACCTACAAAAGTACATACATACATACATACATACATACATACTTGAGGCCGGGGGTGGATGACGAAAGCTAGCGGGGTAGGAGAAAGAAGGAAGGGAAGAGGTGAGTTGCGGAGGGACTGTCATCATCGTGTCGCGGCATTGTTCGTCCCAACGAGGATGCAACAATGATATATTGATATATGATATATAACAATGATATATATGGGGAAGGGGGCAGGGGGGGGCCCTTTCGCGGGAAAAATCACGTGATGTCCTTGGGGAGCCCCGGAATACGTGCTAAAGCAAGAAGACTCTAGCGAGCTGACGCTAGCTTTCGTGATAATGACAATAATTGCCAATAATGATAAAATGTAATTGAATAACGATGATGATGATGATGATGATGAATGATGAATGATGAATGATGAATGATGAATGATGAATGATGAATGATGAATGATGATGATGATGACGAGGATGATGATGATGATGACGATGACGATGACGAGGACGACGATGATGATGATGATGATGATGATGAAGAGGACGAGGACGAGGACGAGGACGAGGACGATGGAGAGGACGATGACGATGATGATGACGATGGTGATGACAATGATGATGACGATGATGATGATGATGGTGGTGATGGTGGTGATGGTGGTGGTGGTGGGGGAGGGGGGGGGCCTTTCGCGTGAAAAATCACGTGATGTCCTTGAGCAGCTCCCCCAATACTTGCTAAAGCAAGAAGACTCCAGCTAGCTGACGCTAGCTTTCGTGACATACATACATACATACATACATACATTATCTAAGTTCAAGATAGGTGCTTGATATCCAGCTATAGTTCAAGATACGGTGCTTGATATCCAGCTATAAGATAGGTACGCTACGCTTGGTGCGCTTGGTGCGCTTGGTACGCTTGGTACGCTTTGGGTAGGTACGCTTGGTACGCTTGGTAAGGTACGTTTGGTACGCTTACCAACCGTACCGACCGTACCGACCGTACCAGTGAACCGTACATAACCGTACCACCGTACCGTACCAGATTAAGGGGGGGGTCAAGGGGGGGGCGTTTTGGATGTACCAATACTAAAGTAGTATTGGTACATCCAAAACGCCCCCCCCTTGACCCCCTCCCTTAATCTGGTACGGTACGGTGGTACGGTTATGTACGGTTCACTGGTACGGTCGGTACGGTTGGTAAGCGTACCAAACGTACCTTACTAAGCGTACCAACCGTACCAACCGTACCGTACCACATGTACCAACCGTACCGTACCAAGAAAACCAAACCTACCAGCCGTACGTACCAAACATGTTTGGATCTTACTTAAGGCCTCTACCACCTATCTTGAACCTAGCTAATACATACATATGTCTCTCTTTCTCTCTCTCTCTCTCTCTCTGTGATCCCGTGTCCCGTGTTCACGGCCCCCCCCTATGGCATGAGAAAAAAATTGACGAATGAGTCACCTCCAAGTAGGTGACGCGCGTAAGCGTGGTCCCCGAAGGGGGCCACGCAACCCTAAACCCTAAGGAGCGCAACCAGTCCAGACCTCGCCACAGGTAAACACCCAAACAACCTAACCGCAAAAACCTGGGCAAATTACGAGCCGCAATGTCAACAACAAAGTAAAATGCAAGATGGTCAGTCATCATACCGTACCATAAACCCCAAATGGTTCGCTGCACGTGAATCAACCAACCATGGCCATGGGACATGTCATCAGCGAACCGTGGAGAACCCAGCCAAAGCGTGCCTTCAACGGCTCGCCAGGCTTGGGGGGAATCTCAAAACAAGATACCCTTTGGAATTCGGTCGAACCGTCATGGGGTACCATTTTATAAGGCTTGTTTCATCCCCCTTCAAATTTCCTCTACAAAAAGGTACCTGTTACCCCCACCCAAAACAGCTACCATTTTAACATATTTTTATGTGATATGTGTGTTGACACTGTCATGCACCGCCATTCTATAAAGGTTTCATTTGGAATGCTTGAATCGGCAGGAGTGCAATTCTATAGAGATGTTGGTTTCGGAAGATGTAACAGTCTTAGGATTGGGCATGACCATTCTATGGAGTGAACTCTGCCTTGCTCACGCACGCTGCCCGTATCTTCAAGCCAGACACGCGGACACGCCAAGCAAGGCATACCAAAAGTAACCGAGAGCCTAGGACTTGTCGATTTTGCATGACTGTCATGGGCCCATCGGCTCGAGGGACCTTGACCACCATTGCTTGTCCATGACCTCAGGCAGTCATGTTTTGACCTCGTGTTGGGGTGGGCATTGGCAAATCAATGCGGCTCCAAAACTGAATGCGTACAACTATGCTCCAGACGGCGTAGCTCATACACTGTGCCGAAGCAACCTTGCCCGACATAGCGGCCAATCTGGCCCAAGACCTCCACTTTGGAAGGAAACAAGAAATCCAATGCCTGCTGGGTCTTCCACCGGCGGAAGGACAAGTCAAGACATACTGCACTTTGGCAGCAAACTTGCAGAAATGTCAACAGGTCCACCACCATGGCTGGATTGTGCTGGATTGGCTCCCTAAGGTGCTGCAAACCAGAAAGCTGCATGGCCAAGTAGTTACTCGTGAAAGCACGCGGAACGCAACAACCCAACCCGTGCTGTGGGCACGGACGTGAAAGCTGGGGGTGCCCACATCAAGGTGCCCTGGGTTTCAGAATGAAATCATGGAGAAAGAGTGGAATATGACCAAAATCTGAGGAGCTGTGCAGACCCAGCAGCTGCCGCCTCAACTGCTTCAGGCTGCTGCTCCAGCTCCTTGATCTGGGCATCATCATTCCAAACCTGAATGGTGAGGCCACAATTCTGGCTGTCTTCCCCTGCCACCACTGCAGGGCAGAGAACCAACTGAGATCATTCGAACTGTGCCATGCGTGCAAGTCTTAGTGAACATGCGTCCTATTTGCTTCCTGCAGTCAGCACAAATCCTTTTACATTCAACCTGCAGCCCAAGGGCACCCAACATGCAAGGACTCATCTGGTTTCTATCCTACGTGGTGACGTGGAAGGGTTTTGCAACCGGCAAGGCATCAAGTGTTCACCATGGGTGGCACTATCCCGACCCACAACTCTCCGGTCCTTCTTCAATCCGCTAGGAAACCAGAACTTGAGCAGTGTGAAGAACTTGACCAAGGAAATCTCCAGGCTTCCCGTATGGCCTTGGTTCGTTGTTTGGTGTTAGCTCTCGGAGAGGTGTTCGTAGTAGAACAGCCTTCTTCCAGCCTTTTGTGGAGACACCCACGTTTGCAATGGGCTTCCAACCTTGTTAGTGTCAAGGCCTCAATTCACATGTTGATTCAGAAAGCAAACAAAGTCCATTGCCATTGCATGTAGCATCAACGCATGGCAAATGAGTTTGGACCATTCAGTAATTCAGCTAAGGTCTTCAAGGCCAGTTTCTGGATGTGCTTTTACCACTCCAAGTCACCAAAAAGGACATATCTTTGGTCCAACTCGCCGTTCATCGAGAAGTTGCATATGTCGATAAGCAAGGCTGCAAAAGATTTCATGGTTCAAAGCAACTACAGTCCACACAGAGGCTCCTCCTGTTTGGCATATTTTCCCGAATGCGAAAATGGTACACCATAGCCGCTGAAATACGGGTCACTATCACATGGTACCCCACAACCATACCGAACAATGGAAGAAGGCACTTGCCACCATTCTATGGGCTTAGTTTGCTACCTACTGAGAAATTTGAAGATGCGATTGGGAACCCTATTCTAAAGAGGGTTTTGGTAAAAATTAGCCCATGAAACCCATTCTATAGAGCGCCATGTGCGGACAGAGGTCATGAGCCATTTTAGTAGCAACTGCAAGCAATGTGTTCAAGGGTGCCCAGCTCATTGCATCTATGCTGAATTCAACAAATATCCTGGGGATATTCACAGTAGAAAAACAAAACCAAGTTGGTGAAAACCATCAGGCACCAGCCTCTTGCCTAGTTCCTGCTGCTCTGCATATAATTCCAAATGATTCCCAATTGAACTTGTGTTATGATGCTGCCGCTCGCACGCCGCACACGGAAGGTGTAGGTTCAACTGAACTCCAGTTGGAACTATAGAATCCTTTTTCCACATTCCTCTCCATTGTTTTTTTGGTTGGTTTTCTTCTCATTTCTTCTGTTTACCCAATTTATTTTGGAAACGTTTTGGTTATTACTGGCCGACGACATGGATGTGGTATTTCGGTTTGCGTGTCAAACATTCAAGATGCCAGAAGGTATGCAGAATCCACAAATAGCTGGGGGATACTGAAGATAGAAAAGTCCAAGTTAAAAAATCAATCCCAGAATGTATGCACAATCCTTGAATAGCTGGGGGATACCGAAGATAGAAATCTCCAAATTAAAAACCAAATCCCAGAATCTGTGCCGAATTCAACAAATAGCTTGGCGATATTCACAGTACATGGATGAATGTGCATTTCGGTTGGCATGTTAAATATTCAAGATTCCAGAATGTATGCAGAATCCACAAATAGCTGGGGGATATTGAAGATAGAAAAGTCCAAATGTTTCTGTTTACCCAATTCAATTTGGAACCGTTTTGGTCATCATTGGCCAACAAAATGGTTTTGTGTTTCTATTGGAGTGTTTGTATTCAACGATAAGTGGCTACATATATTTTTCTTCTCGTGACCCAGAAAAACTTTACACACATAAAGCATATACAACTTCTAGTGGCACAGGAGTGCAAACTATATAGTGGTGTGAAATGTCAGGTTCGCATTGTTCTGACCCAAAATGGGAAATCCCCCAATGTATTCCCAATCAACAAACAGCTGTGAGATACTGAAGATAGAAAAGTCCAAATGAACAAATGGATCCTCAAATCTATGCCTATATAAGTTACATTCAGTTGGGTGATATCGAAGATAGAAAAGTTCCATAAACTGGAGATACGCATTCTTTGCCGAAAGATTCGAAAATACAAGAACCATCCGAATCCGGTTTAATGACGCTCAAAGTCGCAGGAGAAACAATAGCGCCAGTAGCCAAAGAACTACCTTCTGGACCGGATGCAGCCCCTGCATGCGAAGCTTCCCTATCAATCCGCGCGTACAGCCCATGGCGAAATCACACGGGCGGCATCGCGTCGATCAGAAAGGCAATGTTGCTCCAAACACCAAGCCCTCCACGGGTAACGAGTCGTAGGCTGGAGCAGGCCAGCCTGAGGCAAGAACCCGTCAAGTCCAACATAGCATTAGCAAGCTCATGTTTCCATGTCCATGCCGAGACAAAGGTCCAGCCATGCTTCGACAACCAATCATCCAATGCTCTTGCAGGTGCTCTTGCAGGTCTGAGACCAAACCAAAGTACCCACCAACTGCACAGCAAACAGCCAAACAAAGCAGCGCGAAGCCAAACAGAGGCCATGCACAAATGACGACTACCAACATGCACAGCGCTCCACAAGGACTTACAAAGACAAGCAGCGGGAGTACGGGCAATCCAGCCGTAGGCAACTTTACTGATGGCAAAAATCCGACAAGAATGCATGTAACGTTCAAACAGAAAACAAATACAAGTCAGTAAGCCAAGAGTCTTCCGACAGGCAGCCACCCGCGCCAGCTCCTTTGGGAGCAGATTATGGCGAACCACCATACTATAGCCACCAGGCACCAAACACGAGAACACACAAATGTCCGGTCGAGAACACGAGAACACGCACAATTTACACCCCCATCCGCAACCCCCCACCCACCCCCACCTCTCACCACATCCAGAGGGATGATACATAGACATACCCATATACAGATACATATACATACTGTTTATATTTGCACATACACATACTGCATAAGTATATACATACCCATGTATCCATGGATCTTTATGTATGTATATATATATGTATTGTGTATGCTACTTATATATGATACAGTATATAAGTTATAGTTATACATATATAATTGCATATATATATAGCGACGGACTGAAACTTAGAATGCCGCCATGTTTGTCAAGATTTTTAACGGTGCCACTTAGAATGCCTTTTTTTGGGCCTCACTTAGAATGCCTCCATCGCTAAAACATTCAAACCTGCGAGCTGGACTTTTATGAGGCATTCTAAGTGCGCATGATTATCGCCATATTTGGAGACCCTTTCAATTTTTTTTGGTCCAAGGCATTCTAAGTTTCAGTCCGTTGCTATTAGAGATATAGACTTAAACTCTTGATGGTATAAAAAAATAATTTATATAATCCCCTGTTCTGGTGTGAATATGCTAGTTGTTGTCCCCTAAATCGCATTTGTGAGTTTCAGGAGAAAGGAAAGGAGAAAGGAAAGGAGAAAGGAAAGGAGAAAGGAAAGGAGAAAGGAAAGGAGAAAGGAAAGGAGAAAGGAAAGGAGAAAGGAAAGGAGAAAGGAAAGGAGAAAGGACAGGAGAAAGGAAAGGAGAAAGGAAAGGAGAAAGGAAAGGAGAAAGGAAAGGAGAAAGGAAGGAGAAAGGAAAGGAAAAAGGAAAGGAGAAAGGAAAGGAGAAAGGAAAGGAAAAAGGAAAGGAAAAAGGAAAGGAAAAAGGAAAGGAAAAAGGAAAGGAGAAAGGAAAGGAGAAAGGAAAGGAGAAAGGAAAGGAGAAAGGAAAGGAGAAAGGAAAGGAGAAAGGAAAGGAGAAAGGAAAGGAGAAAGGAAAGGAGAAAAGAAAGGAGAAAGGAAAGGAGAAAAGAAAGGAGAAAGGAAAGGAGAAAGGAAAGGAGAAAGGAAAGGAGAAAGGAAAGGAGAAAGGAAAGGAGAAAGGAAAGGAGAAAGGAAAGGAGAAAGGAAAGGAGAAAGGAAAGGAGAAAGGAAAGGAGAAAGGAAAGGAAAGAGGAAAGGAAAGAGGAAAGGTTTGGTGTGGCATTCTAAGTGTTACAAATGCAGCCGGGAGGGACAAAAATCGTCAAGGAAAGCATAATTCATGTGGAAATCAGCAAAAATCATAAAACACATGCCCCCAAAACCCTTGGACGCATTCTATGTGTAACATTTTTGGCAGCATTCTAAGTGTAAAAACGTCTGGTTGAAAGGAAAGGAAAAAGGAAAGGAGAAAGGAA